TGTAAAAGAGGTTCTTAATTCTAGTGTACTGCTAAGTATTCCAATAAGGATCTCTTTACGCCTGCGAGGAGTACGCTTCAATTAAAGGTCATGTCGGTTAATTTCCATTTGATAGAGCTTTAATAATTTGCTGTATCACAATTACCATATTTAGTATAATTCGATATGACCTTTGCAGTCCCTTCCCATTGAACTAGGTAAATGTCTTTATTGAATGCATGTTCACTTGTTACTTATTTATTTAAAACGTTATCTTACTTCATTGTTGTTATTCCCTCCGTTTCATATCTTCATCTGCATATTTTAGGCACTGCTTTACTATCATCGTAATGCATGTTCCCAAAAATTTCCTCTTAAACCTCCTGCATTATTAATGTCTTTAAAATACACAAAGAAAGCAAGTATTCACTGGGTTAGATTTAAAGCCTGGTTTATTGTTTACTGAAAACAGCTGGAGATTCATCGGATTTTGCATAGTGTACAGTATGATTTGATATAAGAATTGGTCTTAAGCATAGCAAATCACAGCTTTGCCTATGCATTTTCTATATTATACATGTGGTAAAAACGTTTAAGCAGATTTATCCTTATCTAACGGTCATTTTTACCTCATTTACTATTTTAAAGAGCGCTCTTTTTTCATTTTTGTACAAATTTACTCAGAGTCTTACTTTTACAGTTAATCTTCATTTTAATAAATTACCTCACCTACTTGTGCTACTTTTTTCGCAATTATGAAAAAGGTTTAAAAGGTCAGAAATTAAGCATTTAAATTTGAGGAAGAGTTCAGAGAATCTTGAACAGATCTCTTACTTTCAATAGTTTCGCTTAATGAATATATTAGAGGTTCGCATTTAGAAATACAAATTTATTGTATTTCCAATTTGATTTCTAAAATGAGGCTTTCAAATTAAATTTTCATATAGATAGGGCCTTTTGACAAGACAAAGAATTTGAGATCAATGGATATTGCTGCTCATTCATGATATGAATGAACAATCGTATTGGTTTATTTGGGAAATTTGTTGTCCAGAGCTCTAGATGTTCAATGGCTGGCAATGGCCTTGTGACATGTTGGCCATTTCCCTACTTACGCAAAATTATCTTCATATTGTTATTAATGATCTACTTATAACGACCTTTTATTTTTAAAAAATGAAACAATCAAAGCCCCGGTGTTTTGGCTATTTGTTTTGGAAATGCAACGTATTGCCATACTTTTAAATTGTATTATTGGCCATTTTGAAACCCTATTGAAATTGAATGTTAAACTATCTTATGGGAAACTAGCGGTCGACGTGTGAGGTTAGAATACCTGATTGTCATCGTCATTTAGTAAAAAAAAGATTAATCTTCTCAGAATATAACTATTCAGAATATTTTTGCTCTTTGAAAGAATTCGTTGTCCATGCAGAATTAAAGATGTTTAATATCAGGTGAATTACGCTTTCAGGAAGATAAATTATTGTTCAATTCCCTTAGGTGCCATTGCAAGAAACTTAGCCACAAATCAATAGTCATGTGATGTGGATTGACTAGTTTTTTATTGTCATTTTTATTTTACTCAAAAGAGCAAAACTGACCATCGATTCATGGTAATCCTAGCATTCGTTTGCGGTTAGGTAGATATAAAGGATCAAAACCCATTGAAGCAGATCAATACAGTAAATGCAAGCACATTTGTATCTGCTTCGTAAAAGAGATCAAATGATGCCGACTATCCTGAATTTTAAGTTAAAAAAACTACTAACGTGGAGAAAAGAGCACAGTGAACAAATGCCACTTCAAGCATTTCACTTTCTCTTTTTATAGGAAGACAAAAGAGAATAGACACTAAACCAGTGGGGTCCTTTTTCAAATATACAATAGCAAAGTTCAAACAGGAAAATTGTCCCTTCCCGTGATTGATGAAAATCCCTAAGTTTCCATTTTCTTCATGCGTCTTGAGTCGGGTTTGTTTGAAGAGTGTGCATAAATGTGGGGATAGAAAGAAAAATGGTTTATTGCAAATATAAATCAATCTTTTAATACTAAGGTTAATAGACTTTTTTGTAAATATTGCAAAATTAGAGCATTTCCTTAGAAATCTAAAGCGAAACTTTATTGATTACTTGTAAATTACTTTTAGGAAGATAAATTTCATTTTTAGTGGAAACTAGTAAGAGAATAAGAATTATGGTAAATGTTTGAGACTATTAAAATATATATACATAAATAAGAATTTATGATTATTCCTTGTGTCGATACTTCTAGTTAATTCAGTAATTCCGAAACTTATCTATTTTGGCCAAAGATCTTAGGCATTATTTAAGCTTCTCATGAAACCATTAACATTAAGTCAGGTCTAAATTGAAGAGGTGCATGTACTGTTACTGCGGCAAGCAATTGAAACTTTCATCGAGTAACATTGATTTCAATACCATTCAGCTGTCAATAGTAAATATATGTATATATAGATGTCGTTTCAACCAAATATACACACACTTAAAATAATTGTATTGTAACCGGTTCCATTTACTGGTATGCCAAACATTAGAGAAGACTTTGAATATGAAGAGTTCTATTTTCAGCAAGATGGGGAGCACCACATTACCCTCTGGATGTTAGGTTTCTCTTTGATGACGTCTTGACAAACAAGATTATTCCTTATGAGAATATTTAAAGACAAAGTCAACTCTACGAAGACTGCAACAGTCACTGAATTAAGAGAAGCCATTGAGCATGAATTCGTTCAAATCACAAGGGAATTATTTCATGATGGGAGCGATTCCACTGCTTGGCGTTGGCAGAAGTGTCTGGAGCAAAATGGACGTCCGTTGGAGAATATGCAAATGCGAAGTAATAAAATTGTACTTTTAAAATATTGTCACGCTTTTGAAATAAAAAATTCTATTTGAACGCCACGTTTAGAACTAGGTTCAATGTTTTTACATTTTTCTGGGACACACTCAAATGTTTGCTGATTGCATGGCAACTCAATTCATGTCTTCTCATTCACTGTATTAGAGGCTAGTTAAATTTTCTTTATTAGTTAAAATTTTATCACTCTAGCACCAGGCAGCTTATCGCCCATCAATAGGATTTTTTCTAGCAACTGAAAAGATAACTTAATAGCTAAAGTATTTCAATGGAAGAATAAGATTAAAGTCATCGCATTGAAAGCCATTAGGATGTTAAGATGGACTAATTAATTTCATATAACCTATGAAAAATGTGAAAAATTAAAAATGTTGATTATCTCTTGAACAAGATGTATATGAAACAACGATCTCTATTGAGAAATAAATAAAAAGTTTCTTTCACAAAATTTTATTTACTTATTTTATTTATTTTGAAGTCTGCGAACGATTCACTTTCTTAATTAAAGGTGTCAGTTAAAATTTATGTGACGATGAATGGAAAGTCTTAGGATGACGAATACTCATGATATTTCCTGAAAATTGCGTGAATTTCCATTTCTGTGAGACAACGTTCAAAGATTTCAATAAATTTAAAATCCCATTACATTCACGTGTCGTTCATCGAATTAAATAATAAATTATTCTTTCCCAATAGTTAGCCAATACGGCATTTAATTGTTTCGTTTTATAAATACTACTTATTAGTTGTACTTGGAGCAGATAAAGAACGATAAAGAACTGAAGCATATATTGAAATAAAATACATTTGTAAAAATTAAATATGAAGCATAAATTTTAGATTCTTTCTTATTTAATAATTAAGAACAGGTAGACGATCGGTTATGCTTATAAGTGCAGACACCTCTAGCCATTTCAATACTTTAATCAATATTATTAAGCCGAATAATTAACTTTTATTTTAGGTCAATACCTACAAGTCAAGTTTATCTAAGTAGATAGGGGTAGAGTACATCTGTTGATGATAAGTGCCACAGGCCACCGGGCTACATATATTCTAGTCGTAAAGAGACCAAGGACTTGAGATAATATTTTTAGAGCAACTGAATTAGGTTCATCAACTGAAAATTATTCTGGCCTGCGATAAGAAAAAGTTAAATTTAAATTTGCCAGAAAGTTACTATACTCAGTCAAACATCATTTTAATTTAGCTATGCATTAGGGAATTAAGCTTAAGAACGAAAGTTTAATCACCCCAAGATAAGATTACAGTTCTGATAACTTCCGAAGTTAATTTCTATTAATAATGTCTAGAAATTGAAAACGAGTTCATGTCAACGTCAGATGAAAATTATTCACTTTTAGTTAAGTATTCCTTATTTTCTGCAATTAAACACACGGCTTTAACAGTTAAAAATTGTTCTAAAGATGTTACTGATGGATTGTATTGAGAGGGTTGTTCTTCAATAATTGACTCCTTGGATAATTATCAAGGGTCTACATTCCTTATAAAACGGTAGAAATTGCACTTATTTATAACGCAGATATATTAATGACTTTATCAGAAATTGCATATGATTAGTATTAACCGCTAAAGAAATTAGTCATCATTGAATGTACAGTTGATTTCTTGTTAGTATTGAATGAAGTCGAGAATACGGGGTTTTGAAATTTAAATAATTGGATTGCCGCGAATATTTTCCCTATGAAAATTTAAGTTGCCTGTTATTCACACTAGGTGCTGACAGTGAATTAGTGTATCCATATCATTCCGATTGCGTCATGGTGACTTGAATGGATTAATTGGGGATTTGAATGAATAAAGACAAAGTTGCCGAAAATCTTTCGAATGTACCTAACTGCTTCATTTAAAGTGAGATAAGCATACAATCCGTAGATTATGCTTAAATTCAAAAAATTAAATAAAACAATTTAAAAATTAAATAAATTATTTTAAACATTACATACCTATCACCTTGCCTACAAGGTTTTAATGATTGGCGGAACAGATTTCGACCAATGAGAAGACAGAAAGGCAACTGCTTCTCAAAGGCGTTATTACATAGATGTCGTGCTCAGCCCTTTTAAATATCAATTTGTGAGTAAATAAATGGCGACCTCAAGTATTCGCACTACTAGATGATGCGTCATCTCATTACAGGAAATACCTTCAGTCGATTCACATTGCTTACCGTTTGCTGCTGTCAAATCTTGTTTGGTCTCCGAGCTCCACCAAACGTGGAGCCAATGGAAGTGATTCAACATCCAAGTAAGCTTCATTAAGTAGGACTTCAAAAGCAATCAATAGCCCCAAGTAGTATTAGGTTTAAGCATTTTTTGAATCCGTGTAGTATACCTAAAGGACATTTTCACTTTTATTTTATGCACTTATTCACATTATGACAGATTATTTAAACCGAGACGTAAGTAACAAAATTTATTTTGAATTTAATAACTTACAAAATTTAATTTTGAAACCATATTCAACTTGATGAATAAGGTGATCGCTGGCAATAAATTTCGTGACCAAAGTGGAAATGCAAAAGCTTTCAGGGTATTAATCTAACCGATCACGAAACACAACACCACAACTCTTTCAGGAAATTGACTTAAAATTCAAATAAAATTTTAAGAAATTGAGTCCGTCTTTTAATTTTTCGATATACTTGATAACTTTCCATAATATGCATTTCTAACAATTTCCCAAGTAAATAATATTCATAAATATAAGTGAAATTTTATTTAATCTTTTGATTTCGTTCTGATAAGATTTAATATTTCTACCACCGTTAGAGTTGCAGAAATTTTTATTTTAACAAGCGCGGCTAGTGTGACTTTTTGGTAAAAGATATGTGGCAAAAGGCTTATCTTTTGCGCTTTATAAATAATTGCTTTCAATAAATTCTCAGGGCAGAATCGAGCAAACTTTACCTTGTGCATATAAGATCCTGGAAATAGGTTTTTTTAAATTATTCAAGAATGATAACTGAAAAAATTTTCTGCAAAATGTGCTTCAAAACATTCCATTCCAAAAGGGGGAATTAGAATGTGAATAACTTCTGGTACAGTGGTAAAATCTCATTGCTAAATTTTAAAAATATTGGACTTCTTTACGAATGAAATTAAAAACGGTTATTTTTTCACTATTTTAATGTCATTTCACAATTTTAAATTACAGACTGTCGGATCTTCACATTTTCAAGCGCAAAGCGAATGCATGGGATTTTTAAATCACCAAATTATCCATCTTCTTATCCGCCAGATACAGATTGTATTGTCTATTTATTTCAAGGATTACCTTCACAAATTGTGCAGTTAACCTTCCTTGCTATTGATCTGAGTCCACCAAGAATGGATGTGTAAGCAAACTTTAAAGGATATAAGCATTTTTTTCTTACCTTTCCTTAGCTTGAAATAAAATCGGTTTGCTTATCTGTTAGATGCTTTGATTACATCGCCGTTCTTCCAAGTAGCGCTTCAGATTTTATGAACATGGAATCGATATCTCATTCAAAATCTCTACAGCGTTTTGAGGAATCACCAACTGTAATATGTGGATCTTTAACAATGCAAAATAAGAAGACTTTTTACTCGGTGAATAATGCTCTCATGTTAGTTTTTCACACATCTTCTCGTTCATTGCTTGACAAACCCGCTGTAATGTCCGGATTTCAAGGCAATTTCTTGTTTTTCAATTCAAGTAAGCCCAGTAGCTTTATCAGCTAAATTACATGGCTTGAAGTGCTTTTATGATAAAAATAGTTAGTCCATGTCATTCACGGTAGACAAAATTATCGCGTTTTCATAAAGTATGATTGATGGGTTATTTACGGGAACATGGGATAGCTTTGGGCTACGTTTTTGTGCATGACGGGTCTGGATAAACAACTGGCAAAATTGTTCATATTTTGGACACAAATTGTTCAACGTTATATGCAATTAGAACGTCCTTGTTGGGCAACCATATTGAATATGTAAATAGTGAAGCGTCTATAAAATTTCTGACATGTTAAAATGAATAACAAAGAGTAGGGTTAAAGACATTTAGATAATTAAGAGTTATTAATTTAATGTTTTTGCAAGAGAGAACTACAAGTGGATACTAAAATATGCTTATTTGACTAAACCTGAAAGAAGCAATTACAAGAAATCTTCTAACTAAAACTAACTTTGGCGCATTTATGAAAGAAAATAGTTTTATCTTTTGCATTTCAGATAAGTAATTAATTAAAATGAGAAAATACTACTACCAATAGGGTGATTTTTATATATTGCTTGAAGAAGAATCTTAAAATGACTTAAATTTTAAAATAAACAGTAAAAGCTTTTGTCTGCGTTACAATCATTTTAGCAATATCTCTTTAAAAAGGTATTGATTCTTAGAGAATTATTGCTATTATTATTATTTATTATTATCGAATTGAATTTCGTTAAAAAATATCCAATAGAAATTCAAAGATATGATTTTAAAAAGGTTTTTTTGCGAATATTATCGAAAAACGACTCAAGTAAAATGACCATTGAAATTTTGAAGGTAAATTTATGTGCACAAGTGTAAATAACACCATTGTGTATATAGTGGATAGTAACAAGGTCGAATTTGGTAGTTATGCCAAAGATAATTATTCAAAAATAAATGAATGATTTTATAGGCTTTATAAATCGAACTTACAACCTTAAAGGAGGATCTTTTAATTTATACATATGTTTTTTAAAAAATTCATTTAGAATCACTCTATCAATCATAAATAAATAGTAGAGTAAGATGCAATAAACTACTTTTCAGAAATGCATTTTTCAAATGCAATTTTGCTATTCACATAATTTAATTGTTTGTGTATTTTAAAACTTTCATTTTTGAATCGTTCATCATTATTTTACCAATATTAATGCTTTATCTTTGTTACGTCATGTTTTCATATGATATTCTTATAAACAAATAAATTTTATGACACTATATTGCATTCCAATTAGCTAACTTTCGAGTCGATGGTGATCTAATACCAAACACGGACTGCTCCTACGTCATTCGAAACACACCAGCCCGACGATTTGCAACAGGAGGTAGGATAGTGTCTCCTCGTTTTCCAAATAGTTATCCACCGAATATTCGATGTACTTACACTTTTATGGGAAGAGGTGATGAGGTGACAGTCATGTCCATCACCTCTCTACATCTCAGTCATTTGTCAAATCCCGCCAACTCAACTGACAAGGAGTAAGTCGCTGATTGCTTATGCGATTTGGTTCCTTATATGAACCACTTAGTAGAAAAATAAAATAATGCACTATTTTATTCCAGTTAATGGAAGAGAAAAAACGAAAACTGCAAAAAACAATATTCCATTTATACATTGATTCACCTGGAATGACTTAGAACGATATTTTAAACTGAATGTAAACTATTTTCATTAAAGTTATCGCACATTAAATCATCCTAAACATATTGACGCAAATGGTAGACATATTTAAAGCTACAGAGGCTCCTTTCTTTTGTTTACATCTTCGAATTAATGAAAATGAGCGTTTTAATTTTATAGCCACAGTAACTAACAAAGAAACAATAGGCGGTTTTAGGAACTGTGTAGTTAAAAACCATTTCTGTTTAAGGTCAATCGAATTAACTATTTATTTTTTTGTTTATTCATGATATATCAAATTTCTTAAAAACAAAGTGGTACAATATCATCGACCTTGCATAATTTTTGAGATGGGCCTACCATTAATACAATTAAGTGATATTACCGAGTTCTGGGTTCCATAGTCATTTTAGCAGCCGATTTGTTTAGTATTGCATTTGCTCCCATAGGTTATCTAAAGCAAAAAGGACGCGCGTTTCTTAACAATATTAGGAATTCCCAATTTTTGAAAAAATATTTGAGTGTATGTCTGCCTAATTTAAGGATTATTCTTCAAAATTTCAGCTTCAATAATCTACTAGTACAACTGTTCCTTACTCTGATACGATCGTTCTTCATATAAATAACTATTGCAGCCCTCATTTATGAAATGCATTGAGAAAGGATTCCATTTTGGTTAGATTACTTAATTTTTCATACAGTCAACCATTCCAGTCTGATTAGTTTTTGGGACAATCTTGTCCATGTAATAGTCAGTCCCGATATTCTGTCTATTTGTTTGCAAAGCAAATCAAATATTCCGTCAAAAGGGACATGAATAAGAACATCGAATATTCGTCTCCCACAGAGTCTCTAAATTTCTTGATCAATCTAATCACGTTCAAGCTAACCAAAACTATTCTAACTTTCTACGCCTTTAGAGCAGGAAGTTGATAATTACAAGAAACCTGTTTCACTCGATACGGAATATTGCCAAAAGTTTTACAAACAAGATGGATTAGGTATATTCTTCTATTATTAGAATCCTAAACCTAAATTTCATGGTTTTAAAATGAATTCTGCAAGGTGATTTGTGTTACAAATGACTTGAAACTTTACCTTATAAGTCGATCATAACAGGTGCTGTTATTAGCGGCCTCACACATGGTGTTCCAGAGTGGTTTTGTGTCAAGGCCTGTCACACAGCTTTCTTCGTGATTTGGAATTCTACCCTTTACATTCTCTGCTTTAAATCAGTAACTAAAGATTAGCAAATTGTCACTCTCATGGAAAGAAGAATTCTCTTGGCATAGAGATGGAGATATTGAAAAATTTCTAAATTCTTTCCAATTTAGATATAGTTCGACGTTGCTTATATTTGACCAATCATAAATCACTAGCCAAAATTATCTTCAATCAAAATTTATCTGAACTCTTGTGACCCCTCTCCTATGAATTTTAAAAGTTCCGTGACACAATAAATCATAGTATTGATAAATACTTCTGACATTTCAGAAGACCTGGAAAATAATCATTTTTAACCCACACGTTCAAAAATTTTGATAAAACACTTGCCAGAAGTAGGCGTATTAAAATTATTAATATTAATCTAAGAAAAATTATTCGAAAACTTTAGTTTTGCTTATTCATAAAATTCATATGTTTTATGTGTCGTTGCTTTGCATAATTTTGGTTCGAAGCCTGCTTTGGGCACACCTAGGGGTCATTATTGAATGCAGAGATTTTTTGGTTAGTTTCGAGGCTAAAAGTGTTATAGTAGCAAGCTACAAGAATGTTTGTTACTAAGAAAAGTATTTCTATACACTGATACCAAAGCGCTTAAGCTTATTTATATTAGAATTTTAATGTGACGCTGTAAGTACAATTCCAGAATATTTAATGAATGAATAAATCACTATTTGAGTTCCCTTCCAAATGTCTGTCTTTGTTCAATATGAATATGAACTTTAAAGATTATGGGGAGGAAATAGACTGAAAGAAGTTAATTTTGCTGACAAAATAAACCCGTGTATATAGTTTTTATTTCTAAATTTTCCTTAATCTATTTTTGTAACTGTGTCATCGATTATTGAGATGTTTTAAACTTTAAATTAGATTATTTATAGATTAAACTATGTTAAAAAGGAAAAGGACAAAGAAGCTAGTTGAAACAAGTCTGTAGATATTAAAGGCTTTTTGACTATGGAAAAATATTCAATTATATCGTCTGAACTAATTAAATTCTCCATTCGTGTTTTTTAAGGCAATGAAAGATGTTGACTTCTTTTACAACGTGAAACAATTATTACACGGTCCAAACTGAATTTTAATGAATTCCTTTAAAAATACCAAGTCTTGACACAAATATTAGTTAATGTCAATATAAGTTATTGAAAGTTAATAAACAGCAACCTCATATTAGGTCATAATAGGATCAGTGATTTCATTGTGCGTATTTAGTGCACTGGGAAAAGTAGACTTTCTTATTGATTGCATCATATTTAGCTAATGACATGCTCAATTATTTATTTATGATTAAAATTAAGCAAACCGAGGCTAGGGATTGATGAGGTGGTAATTAATAGGAGATGAATGGAGGCTAGGTCTCTTGAGAAAAGAAATGTTGAAGCAATTTACTTTACAGAAATGGAATAATAGATTTTTGAAGTTATTTTAAAATTCAAGTAGGAGTAATTTATGCTCCAGTGCACTAAGTTTCTTTGATAATGAAATATTTAACTATTCAATGAAGTTTGAGATAATAAACTATTATTAAGCTATATTGCAATATTCCTATTATGTATTTTGTAATTGAACATTAATTTCAATCTTATACGTAATAGAAAATGATATTTTTATACGTTGAACAAATAATGCCTTCAAATAGTGCATTAAATTCCTAATGAACATTTATTAATGCATTGTTTAGATTTGTTAGAGTAATTTTCACTATTGAAATGAATGGAAAAAAGAAATTTAACAAATCAACGGCTGGCTTTTATAAGTCCGTTTATGGTCTTATCAATTATAATGGATTGGAAATTGGTTTTAATTTCAATTAACTAAAGTTTATTTCAGAAATAACTTTTGGATAATGCATACGAATATGATAAGGGGCATTATTTTTAGATAAAAGGTTTTAGGCAGTATGAAATCTAAACATGAGAATATGATTTAACCTGATTACGAGCGAATAACTATTTTAAATGGCTAATATAATTTCCCATTTCACTTCCGTGGGAGATTTGATCGAACCGAGAGGAATTTATTGTGCTGGTCCGGCCTTGTTCATAAATTAAGTCAATTCAACTGGTTACCATATAATACCCATTTACTTTATCATTCAGAGAATCAATCAGAGAATTCAATCAGAGAAATCGTTTTAACAATTCTCAAACTGGTTCTCCGAATTAACTGGAACTTAAGTCTTCTTTTCGCTTTAAATTTGCACTTTAAAAATTTCAAATAAGTGTTTGAATTTATTTCACAATGTAAAGTTCATTGTTATTAAATTAATGGTAAGTAAAATTACTGTTTACGAAATTGAATTTTTAAGTGTGAAATAATTGTAGAATTTAAGTTTAATTAAATGCAACTTTCCTTAAAACGTAATTTCTACTCTTCAGTTTAACTTAACAAATAAAATAAATTCAGTACAAATTTTAAACTTTCCATTATCTCGATGAGATGGATCGGAGGGAGAAATTCGCTACCCCTAGCATACGCTACCCACCTGATCCAAAATGTTAGCGCCATTATTTCACTTACGTACCAGTTTGCAGAATTTTAAATGACCATAAATCTATTTGTACCAAATTAAAAGTGTCTCATTTCGAGGTCCTAAATAGTTAGCATTTCATTGAAAATAATTCATTTAAAAATTCCATTAATCTACTTTTTCCATTTTATGCTTGAAATATTGAATTTGTTTTTTTCTTTCCAAACTGGAAGTAAACTTTGTATTAAATCCTTGCAACATCTCTTTCTTCCTTGACTTTATGAGATTATTTGAAGCTTTCTGAAATTTTGCTATAAATAAAAAATTCATAAATGGCAGCTGAATTATAGATACCTAATAAGGACATAACGTAGGTTATGCCTTTCACGAAAATGTTAAAGGGGGACATTTCTCTTAATAAAAGCATAAAAGAAATAGTTTATTTTATTTAAAACATTAGAATGAAAATATTGCAATTTCGTTCTAATGCTTCATAATTCATCGAATAGTTGGAATGAAATGAGAATTGGTTCCGTTTCTGTCATCTAAGAAATAATAAAGACGAAAATTCAATAATTTTGTAAAAAATATATTCCAATTTGATACTTTTCGAATACACTTCCTACGATATTTTAAAGCATTTTAAGTGGATATGAAACTATATAGACTAAAGATTCATTATTTCAAATCGAAATAAAGTATATGCATTGTAATTTAAGTGTCAAATGTGTCGCAAAACAGCCAACTGTACACTACAATAAACATGTCAGCATTTAGTTATATAATTTTACGATAAGATTCATATTCTCCTGTCACTTTGATCCTAATTACAGAGTATGAAAACATTTCTTTAAAACCTGCAGTCGATAGCCCTTTTTGGCTTATTTTTCTTTCTGTTTTGCTTCAGTTGTATTTTCGAAACAGTACCGAACTCAGCGTTCGATAGGATCTTGATACACACTTTCCCTCAGGACGCTTGGAGAAGTTCAAAGCTTCTCTTTCGTATTTGCGGAGTACAATCATCTCTTCGAGTTATCGCTGCAGGACCGAATCTCATGTTAACCTTTCTTTCATTGCCATTTCGACCAAAGGAAGGCGGTTTTCTAATAGATTTCGCATTTGTTAAACAATCGTCAGTCACTTCCATGGTTCCATCGTCCAAAAATCCCACTTTATTTGAACAAGGAGCATTAAGAGAAAGTGTCCAGGAGATCTATGATTATTTGCATCGGCCACAGAAAGCAAATCTTCCTAAAGATGAGACCGGTAAGGATCTTATGACGTTTTGAAAATGTGCTCAAAATTAATTGGAGACTTTGAGTGAATATATATAATAAAAGGAAAGCAGAATTAAAACTGATCCTTTGAATTCTTGTATTTCTCATTTTCTAGACAAAAAAGTAAGCTATAACTAGTATTTGTTCATGAAAGCAATACCTGGTTGATTCAAATTTTTTTAAATAAGCCCTGGTGTTACCATAAAATCTCCAACATTAGGGGCCTTATCTTATCTTTGGAATATATTTCAAGCCATCGTAAACGAAATGTAACAGCTAGTAAAGTGAACTTACACTAAAAGCATCTTCTCATATAGGTAAAAATAATTGGTCGAAGAAAATTATTCCCTAAACTTAATTGAGTCGCAATAATTTATTTATATTGTCCTTAATGAAACAAAGCAATGTACACTAAATAAAAGTAAGTTTAAGCAAAGTGAGAAAATGCAAGGGAAAGTGCTTTACACAGTATTTATGAATGAGCAGAGCTCACAACTAAATTTTTTTCAATTAATATGGAGTATTTATTACAAAGATCTTATTCTTGACTGTCTATGCAAAATGCTTCCCAAATAGTCGAGAATGCGAATGGTATTTCAAAATTTATTGACAAATACTTTTGTCAAACAAAGGCGATAAATTGTTTTTTAAGTCGCTAAAGGTTAATTTCTCTTTGAATTTAACTAAAAGATTTATAGTATTTAACTTTTCAATGACTTATTACAATATTATGCAGAAACTATTGATAATACTTTTGCCGTTTTTGAATGACTGCAATAATGATGACATATTATAATATGGATAGTTGTCAGTAAGAGATAACAGTATTTGAGCTCATGCTTCCTCATGGTAATGAGGACATTTCCCTTGTTTAAGCTCAGGATAATTCATCTCATGACATTCGAGTCTAACTAACGAAAATGGTGAAGATCTTTGATTAGCCCCCATAAAAGACCAACATAGTTCATAACCTTTACTAGAAGCCAAATTAACACGAATGAAATATGAAATTTATCTTGAGATTAAGTAGAGAGCTTTGGATAAATTGAAATTTGTTTGAACCATTGTTTTCCCCTTTCAACTTTCTTGATTTTGCATTTCCTTACAGAAAAGAAAAATCATCATGATTATGGAAACGCAAACATTTTTAATAGTGATTCAGCAATTCCTCCACAAACCTGCAACACGCCTGAGATATTTGATTCCATAATTGACTCGAATAACTCCGAAGAAGGTGTTCTCACATCTCCAAATTTTCCAGAAATTTATCCCAAATGTGTTAAGGCGACATTTTACTTCCGAGGTCGTTCTGATCAAAGAGTCCATCTGAAATTTGCTGTACTTGAGTTAGGTGAACACGAGCAGTGAGTCTGTGTAACTTGCAAGTCAAAGTTCAATGAATTATTTACATTTATATTTTATATCTAACCTTCAAAGAAGCATTCATTGTTTTAATCAGCCATTCGATGCTTTAGAATGAAGGACAAAATTTAATATACTATGGCTTGATGTTAATTTTATTTTATTTATACTAGCATTTAATTTCTCATTTTAATTAATTTCAGTACTTTAAATTCAAATTTAGAAAAATACTAATTTTCAAATCAATATTACATTGATTTACCAAAATGCAAAGTCCCGTGCAGATATAGCTACTTGATCAACGCATGTTTAGCTCGGTCATATTTATTAATAAAAATAGGCAGAAAGCTTTATTCATGCTGGAATATACCAGTTCTGGAATAATTCAATTGACTAAGTTGGAAATGCGTCGCTTTGTTTGATTATTTATTGGAGAACATAAAGAAGAAATATTTGTTTGTTTTAACCCATTCATATATAAAATATTTGTGATGTGAATAAGGAAATAGAAGTTGAGTGTTATTTTATTAAACTTATATGAATCTGAAATGAATGAAATATAATAAACTTAGAAAGTTACAAATCTTTAATTAAGCAAGTGAGCGTTTATCTTATTACCTCTTGGCGTATCTGATTATTTAAATTCACGGCATGCGTTAATATATTCATCCCATCAAACCCGAATTACAAAATTTAAAACTGAATGAGACTTCAAACTCTGTTCCATGAAAGTCAGAGATTCCTACCCTTTCCCTAATCGGCCTCCTACTAAAATTGTGTATTGCTCTTGGTAACAAGCTTTAAAAACTGCCCTGTTAAGTCAAATAATTATGATAAGAGCGATGTGTTGGTATGTGGATTTATAACTTCAATAGGATTTAATAGCATTTATATCGATCATAGCATTGATCATCCAAATTCTTTGTTGGTCATTAACAGCAAAGTCGTAAAGACCTACAATTTAGGTAAAATGTATTACTCTATGTTCTGCTAACCATCACAAACTTTATCAATTTAACGAAGCTAAATAAATATAGGTTATGAAAGAAAATCAATCTCCATATCTATACATACGCCATTAAAATTCAGTCAGCATAAATACAACTTGGCATTTAGATCGATTGACTTTAAGTGGGTTTCACTTACAGTCCTTCTATGAAACCAATTAAGTAGAACATAGGAAAAGTTAGTTTTCAGCAAAGAAGCAAACTTTTCATAGTTGTTTGGCGTATCATATTTCAGAGACGTTACTTAGCCATCTTTATATTTGTTTAAGTTCTTGGAAAGGCAATATTATGATTAGTCTTTTAGTAGTATTAAAATGGATAGGGTTTGGTAAGTGCGATCTATTATTACATCATTTTGGAGAAAATCATTTCCAAAAGATGTGGCAAAACTATTAATTTATGTCTAAGAAGACTTATTTTAAAATAATTAAGGTGAATACTAAAGTATCTGCAATTTCTAATGTTACCTCTATTGTTAAAAAGAGTGAATGATGAAATCTTTATTTAAGCTAACCATTAACCACGTGCAACGAAATTATTTTCTGAAGTAACCCGATATCTCTAAAGTGCCTGCTTGTTTCTTACGTACTATTTTAGAATATATTTTGCAATTGACAACAGGCAGATAATCTTTTAATTCATTTCATAAAATTTATACCAACATGCAATTTGTACTTAGAGAGAGAGAAACTAGACTAAATAATGCAGCAGTGAAATACTTGAAAAATAGTAAAAATTTGATATATTCAAGAATCAAACCATATTCCTTAACCAAATCTCAACTTAAAAATTGGATAACCTCATTTATAGTAGAACTGCTTAAAGGCAGGGCAAATTCTATCTCTTTAAATTGCTATTTCACTTTGTTGGTGCTGTTTTGCGCTTAGAAATCTATCAGTTTTGCCATAAGCATAAGCTTTTTCAGTAAGTATAATGACATCGAAGGACATCGTTATAGTAAAACGCGGTATCGCTTCTATAGACGATGACTTTCAATTAACTTTTAGGATTAAAATGTTCCCAGCCTAGGGCCAACTTTGATCAATGGAATATTGATTGAGCTTTTCAATATCTTATATTATTAGTAATATTATTTAAAATGCCCAACAATCTTATTTTAACCAAAAGGCTTGCTCTAGTTTTATGGTCTTAATTAGTTATTCTTCACGGAGGTTATTAGAAAATATGTTTTAGCCAGTCCTAAGAGAATTTGCTTGAACTCAAAATTATAGGATAAATATCAGGTTCTGCGCTATAGTTAAACAGAATTTGATAGAAAAATTAGCTGTATATATTTCGATTTTGTAAATTAGAGTTATGGCAATGCCTGAATATTGAAAAAAAGCTATTGGACGTAAAAGTAATTTAATTTGATATTTTTTTAGATGCACTGAAGGGAATGGTGATAGATTGAGTTTTTACGATGGTCCTTCAACAGACCTCCCCGTACAAATGAGTGTATGCGGAAGTCGACATTCAATTTTTCAGCCAAAGGAGAATGGTCGACAAGGTTCAACGCGGTACCTATCAATAGCCTCCTCTAGCTGCTATTTTACTATGACCTTTACATCAGACGATGTTGTTGGGAAATTTGAATTCGGTTTTCGAATGGAATATGAATTTCAAAATTTGTTGAGTTGGGACAACTCATATATCCAAAAGACGACGTCTGGAAATTCAAAACAAAGGGAATTGGACAAAGTTGTATATTTTAATCATAGCCATTTATTTTTTCCTACGAGTTCAGCGCCTCATTTTTATCCCTTGGCGGTACTGTTATGTATATTAAATGGTAAGCTGTGTTTTATCATTATAAAGGAAAGGTTTAGAATACAAACTCAGCAAAATTATATTAGTCTATACTATTTTTGCTCTTGAATAAAAGAGATGTAGACTTTCAATAGAATCTCATTAAATCAAACTACATATTTTTAAAATCACTCTATTTACACCTCAGAGACTACGGCTAATTTTTATAATGAGAGAGTGATTTTAAGTGATTCTTAGGTAATATTTTGAATAAAGTCAATAATTTAATGTTATCATATCTTTAATATCCTTTAGGTAACTAAGATGTATTTTTGATCCATATCGTAAGATATTATATAGCAAAGGATTCAACGTTTATTTAAATCACTAAACTTTAAATTAGCACTTCAGTGATGAAACTTCAAGTTTTAGCTATTCCCATTATATTGCTTTGTGCAATACCAGTCTTGAGAGCCCATCATCTATCCAATTTGCAATTGGTTATCAATTCTATCCATATTTTTGCTCTTATGCGTTTATATATTATAGAATCTAATGTACTGTGACCCAATATTAGAACGTTTTAATGTTTGAAGTGCCTGCCTTTGACCTAAAATCTATGTTGGTTGCAAATTCAAACGTGAAATCTATTTTAGGTCAAATCGAATAGCAGTTTGTCTCATCAAATTGTGAAACTAAGATGACTGTCAAACCGTCATTTGTTTCGTATCTTATGCATTTGATGTCTATTGTACATTCTAAATGAGTTTATTGCATTAAAACTTTAAATAAATCACCTTCTTCTATCGTAATGCATGTAAAATACATACTACTTTATTCATTTATATTGATTTTATATCAAAAAACACTGCTGCATTGTGTGCTATTTTTAGCTTTTTAAAAACAACAATAACACTAATTAAGTAAAATAAAATAAAAGATTCTGGAAGCATTGTTTTATCAAATTACAAATACGTGTCACCATTTTATAATATATAGCTATCAACTAATTCTGGAATGTAGAAATAAAAAAGGCATTGGTTTTTTTTAAAATTTCATGGTCTTTTTCTTTCAATATTCAAATGTCAGATATTTTTTTCCCTTAGGACCACTATGTTTGTACTTAATGTGAAGACCAAAGCCAGAGCAAGAAGAGAAGAATTTGAACTAACCGATTTTGTCTTCCTTTGATTACTATATCCAAATGTACAGATTTACTTACTTTTATGTTAATTCAATATAAAACTTCCAAAAGCATTAAATCTTCATCTTCCTTCTTTGGGTTTTCCTTAAACGAATAAACAGGCATGCTGTTTATTTTCTAGATTGCCTGCCCTTCTATGCAGTGCATTATTGAAACAATTGCACTAAAAGTAAATAATTGTATTACCTTAAAATATCGGGGTATTGTGCATAGTTGCAACCAAAATTAAAATAATTGAATTCATAAAAATTTATGAATTAAAATGAATTAAATTTTTTTGGATAATTTAAAAGTAAGCCAATTTATTCTTTTCCATTTTCTTTATGGTCCTTAAATGATCCTTAAAACGTCTGAAGTTTTGTATCATATATATTCTTCTTTTTAATGTAATACATGTAGAAATGTCTAACGTTTTTTTGGTGGTGGTCTTTTGATAGTTATCTTTAGCCCTTTAGCCATCTAAGTGCTTCACAGAGAGAACGAGGAAGATCAAAGTGACAGAACAGTCGAAATAGGTCAGAATAATGATTCACAGAAGTAAAAGAGACAGGCACAGGTAGAAAAAAGGCGCCGTGAGTACTGTGGAAGGAGTCGCAAATGGCATACAGTGGGGTCATGGTAGTTTGAAGTTAGAAGTCAACTGCCGGTTAATACACATTTTTGTCGCATGAGCATAGATTGTCCAGGTTGCACTACGTGGCGTTAAGTCTATCTCACACACCTCGAAATGCTTAACATGAAAATAGTAAAACCTTGAATAAACTGGAGGTGACCTGAATAAATGGGCCGAAAATTTGAGTCATAAGAATAGGTTTGCTTTATTTTCTTCAGTTTAATTTGATATGAGTTTTGAGTAACAGCATTTGCCCCGATTTCTCTTTCAAATTTGAATTTCAGGATTCATTCCTCAATTTTTGATCTCTTTGCAATTCTAAATATAATAAATAAAATTTACATACGATTTTATGTTCATTGCTCAATAATCTTAGTTATGAGCTCTAATATTTAATAATCTTTAGCAGGCAAACGCAATAAAATGTAACTAATAAAGTCAAATGCATGGAAATATTGCCCGTTCTCTTGGCAAGTTCAAGAAAATCCCAAGTGATGTATAGCGGTATGTGTTTAGTTAAAATACTTCCGATATTGCAAATATGGTCTTTAGTGGATAGCTTATTACAGCATCAATTCGTGATCAAGGGGCAAGAGAATGCGACCACGTTTCACTTATCATAATTTAATCAAAATTTTGAAAGTGTTTTCTCAACGAAATCACATATAATAGTGAATATAATCAAACAAAACTTTTCTAAGCATACGAAACCTTCGCTTCTCCTTCGAAGAGTTAAAAATGAAGGACTGATCTCATGGGGTCATCTCTATCAGCAAATACAGTTGATAGATTAGATAGTTCCATGGTTTTGTTTTTCAAACCTACAACAGTTATGCAAAATGAACAATTTTTGAAAGTGGAAATCAAATGACATCGAATAGAAATAATTCCAATGAATGTAAAAGGACAAAGTGTTCAAAGCAATAAATAGAGTAACATTAAGGCATCATGGCGTTTTAGCGCATTTAATTTTGGACTCTAGGTGTAATATATTTAAAAATAGATAGTTCATATTTAAACTTAACTTTCAGCTAATATTCGGCAACGACAGGCCTTTTCTATTGACGGGTATGTTTGAATCATGAAGAGTAAGTTCTGCTTTTGATTAAATTTTCGTTTTCAAATAATAAAGAATGCGAATTATCTTATACAATATTTTACAACAAAGAGGTGATTTGAGTTAGAAGAGATACGATAGCTGCGTTACCTTAAGAAGAATAATTTTTTCAACAACTTGATACTAAGTTAATATGTTTACCACAGAACACGTAAATCCTGGTAAATATTTCATATCAGATTATATATAAATTGAAGCATCATTTTAAAAAAAGATTTCTTTACTTCAACTCACTCAGAGATTATCATTTGTCAATGATAGTAGTGGGTACTATTTTTTTCAAATTTAAGCACCAAAAGCACCGTTTTAAATAAAATGCATGACATCATCATTATTGTTAGTTAGTAGTACAATCTTATTACGATTCCAATGTAAATCGTCAGTATCACTTATATACTAAATAGATTCTCATAAATCAAATAATTATTTATTTATTCATTTCAAATGGCAGGCGTTTCGATAGCTATCATAAGCCATTTAGCTGACTTCAGGCTTCACAGAGGGAAGGTTCATCAAAGTAGAAGAAATTCGAAGGGTGGGGTACAGAAGAGCAATTCACAGATGTAAAAGAGGCAGACAGACACAAAGGTAGTGAAAAAGGTAAGATGAGTACTGTGTCAGGGGTCGAATAAGACAAGCAGTCGGGCCATGGTAGTTTGAAGTCAGAACTCAACTGCCAGTTAATAGACTATTTTGCCGTTTGAGTATACGTTGCCCAGGGTGCACTACGTGGAGGTAAGT